AAACAAGACTTGGCCCGACTCATCAACTCGAACAAAACCCACCCGAATATACATTTCTTCCGCAAATAAACCCTAGTAGCAGCATCCTCCTCCTCTGAGAGGGGACACAAAGAAACAGAGAGAAATGGTGTCGGGGTCAGGGATCTGTGCGAAGAGAGTTGTGGTGGATGCAAGGCACCACATGCTGGGGCGTCTGGCCTCAATAATCGCAAAGGAGCTACTCAATGGCCAGAAAGTGGTCGTAGTGCGATGCGAGGAAATCTGCCTATCAGGTGGACTAGTCCGCCAGAAGATGAAGTACTTGAGGTTTCTCCGTAAGCGCATGAATACCAAGCCTTCCCATGGTCCCATCCACTTCCGGGCACCCTCCAAAATCCTCTGGCGTACCATCCGTGGGTATGATCATGCTTTTTATTCTTTACTTTCATGGGCACTTTTCTGGTTTTTATGAATGTGAATGCATATGTTTTTGTGGGGGAAAAAGTTCAATTGATGTTATGGTTCTGTTCATATGTGCAGATATTTGTTGTATGTGATTTATTGAAGAATACTTAGTTGGCAGTTCTGTTTTTATGAACTCATATATCTTACGACCTTGAATGTGTATGTATAGACAGAAAATGACCATTTAATTTTTTCATCCCGGAGTGTAAAAATAAGTTCAATTCAGGTTCATGGAATAAATCACACCATAGTTGGTGTGTAAATGAATTGATAGGTACCGGCATCGCACTTATTTTTATATATATACACATATTACGATTTATGTCTGCTGGTTTTCCAACTAGCCATTGTACCTGAGATTGCGATAAGTCCTTTTTTGGAGCTTATTTCAATGGTGATTTAGGGCCGGCCAAACAAATGATAATTGTTCGCCTATTGAAAGAGAGTGCTAACCAATATGCATGCAAATACAAAAAAAAAAAAAAAAATAAATAAATGCCAGTAATCTTTGTATTTATTGGGAACAAAGCTTAATTTGTTGTATTTAATAAATATCTGATTGAGAGCCTTCCATTTTGTTTTCGTACACATACACTGTATTTCTTTTGAATTTATCATTTATTTCCATTTGGTCTCGGGATCAATAGAGTAAATAACCTTTGACTAAGTATAGAGTGTACATTGAGAATTGCCTATTATTAGTTCTTATTAAATGAAAGGATGGGTTCATTTGGATCAATAGACTAAAATAAACTTTGATTAAGCCTGTCTGATTCCCAAGATTTCAAAACTCATTTTTTTTCAAACTCATTTTTTACCCCCACATTCTCACAATAAAATATTTTTCACTTAAACCCATAACATTTTCTTACTTTTTAACAACAAATTTTCCAAAAAATCACTATTACAAAACTCATTTCGATGAAATAATGGGCATCAAATAGGGGCTAAGTAAAGAGTGTAAAATGCCTATTTTAAGTTCTAATTAAATGAAGGACGCAGGTTCATTTGATTATAGTGATAAAAAAACTTTGTAGTTTTGTGATTTACCCCCAGAATTCAGTTTTCTTAAATTTATTGTGTTCTGTATAATGTTAAATACTTTTGATTTCGTCTCTAATTACTTTACTTTGACAGATTGAGGTGCATCGATGTTTTATCATCTGATTGTGGATTATCTAAATGAGTTTTGAAAGTTTATAAGATTCATCATTGGTTTACAGACGCCCATTTTTGTCTAACCCCCATAGAAAATGGTGGTATTTATGCTGGTAGGAAGAGAGAAATATCCTGTTCTTATTCTTCTGTGGAGCTTAATTTAGGTGAATATGCTCAATGGAAATCTACTTTCACGGTTGCATATCAAAAACTTGGTCTGCTTTCATCAATGGATTCTGGCCATTAGGCTATACATTCATTAAGAATATAGAAGCTACTGCAGTGATGGGATAATGCTTCTTGCAAGTTTTTAGTTATACAACTGTGGTTTTGTTAGATTTTTTTATTTTTTTGTCAATAGTTGTGTCACACCTAATTTGATTGTAGGATGATCCCCCACAAGACTAAGCGAGGAGCAGCTGCACTTGCTCGATTGAAGGTTTATGAGGGTGTCCCCCCACCATATGACAAGACGAAGAGGATGGTCATTCCAGATGCTCTCAAGTAAGTTTCATGTCTTGGTTTTTCTTTCTTTATTTGTTATCTAAATATGTCGTGTTAGAATCTTTACTTATTGGCTGTTTGATGATTAGGGTTCTGAGGCTCCAAGCTGGACACAAGTACTGTTTGTTGGGTAGGCTCTCATCGGAAGTTGGATGGAACCATTATGATACTATAAGGGTAAGTTTACATGCTATCAATTTCCATACTGTTGCTCAAATCATTCACCTTTGGATTTGCAGTTTGTCACATAAATATGAGTTTTTCTTGGTAAATGGTTGAGCATTGCCCACTTTATACCTATAGCCTTTTGGCTGAGACTTTGTCTTGCCTACTTTAAATTTCAGACAATTCTCTTGTTTTTTGTTTTGCAACTTGTTTTCTCAAAACTATTTATTTAGTTGATCCCGTTCTTTGGTTTCCTTCGGTAATTCTATCTATTCTTAATTTTCCGATATCACTATAAATGCCCTGATATTAAGAGCACGCTGCCCAATTTATTGTTACTTCGTTCTTGATGGTTTTGTACTCTTATTCCTTCTCCTATTTCTGGTATTACATTTTTCCTTCCATGCATTTGCTGCTAAAATTTGTTACATCCCTAATCCTTAGATTTCTCGAGGCAAATTATTCGGGTGCGTTTGTTCTTTGGTGTGTGTGCATTTGTAGGATGTTGGTTTTTTAATATTTTATTGCATGTTTGGCAAAGCTTAAATTTTTATTTATGCTAGTAAATATACTTTTTATCCACCTATTTTATAGGATCCAAAACTTACTATTCATTTATTATGCACGCATTCTGTAGAAAGCACAACTTATAAGCACTATCCAACAAGTAGTTTTGCACTTCCATAGGTCTTGTCATAATTTGCATTTAATGTACTACAAACCTCAGAAACTTTCACTAACCATAACAACTACATTTGATATTCTAGGAGCTTGAAAAGAAGAGGAAAGAGAGAGCTCAGGCAACATACGAGAGGAATAAGCAGTTGACCAAACTACGTATTAAAGCCGAGAAAGTTGCTGAGGAGAAGCTTGGAAGTCAACTTGACATTATTGCTTCAATCAAGTATTGAATAATTTTGATTTGAGGGCAATTTGTCATCTTATTAGTTTTAGGTATCTGCTTTTGAGAGGTTTATCTTACCTGTTGCAATATTTGAGCAGAGGTTTTTGTTAAGCATATATGACCTCTGTGTTCTTGGACCAATGATTTTAAATGTTACTTTATTAATATTCTACTTAAAATATAAAAATAAATCTATCTTCAATGACATTTTTTGATGGTTACATTCTTACGACCCACGTGATCAAGTATTCCTTTTTACGTAACGTAGGTCACACCTGGATTAATGACGCTAGTTGTCCTTCATTAAAAATATGAGCCGAGCTGGCTGGCCATACCACTCACACATGCGGGGATGGGTGAATTTATTATTATTATTATTTTAATAATCACTCACCCCACCTCGCCCCACCCCCCACGCCACAGGCCCTGTTTTCCTGTACAGCCAGAATTTTTTCTAAAAATATTAGAAACTTTTTCATTGTTAAATAATTTCACAAGGCCTGTACGGCTAGAATTTTTCTAAAAATATTAGAAACTTTTTCATTGTTAAATAAAAAGTAAGGATTAAGCTATTGGTATACTCTACTCTACACGTCTCTTAAGAGATTGTTTACGTGGCAATTTTCTAATGACTAGATCAAGGTCTTTTTTGAGCCACATTATTTAAAAAAAATACATTCTTTAACAGTGATTGGACATCATTTCAACCCCACATTCTTTAACAAAATAATATTACACGCAAATTTAAAATATTTTCTTATTTTTTTACCACATTTCTCATCAATATACTATTCAAAAAAACATTTTCATTCCAATAATGTGGCTCAAATAAGGGCTAATTGTATGAGATGTGAAAGATAACGTGAAATTTTGTCAAGTGTAAATTCTGTAAGTTAAGGTGTAAATCAAAGTGTATATATAGCAAGATTTAAAAAGTAAGGATTAAATTGTAGCTATGATTGGAGCATGAACAGCCAACCCAAAGAGCACACTTTCAATAAATTATAGCTCTGTTTGGTGTATATTAAATTAAATTTTGATAAGAATAATGTTATTTAATATTTAGTGTTAGTAATGTTAGAGTATCAATTTAGATGATAACTGTTGATATATTTAATTAAATAAATGATGTGACATTGTATTTATTGAGATACAGTTGTCACGTAGAATAGCGTTTGAAATCAGTGGTGTTGAATAATATTACTGTTTGTCGAGAAATTTTACGTCAATTCCCATTATTTATGTTTACCCGTAAGATCTTTTATTGTTCAAAAGAATATTATCAAACAAGAAAAATAAAGAATATAACGCAGAAATTAAACGGACCGTCAAAACTTTTCACTATATGAAAAAATTGTTATAATCATATACAATTTCACTCACCAACCCAATCCCCAAGTATTACAAAGAAAAAAATAAACCCGAGTTTTATCATTCTTACTTTTCTACCCAATATACGAAAAGTTTCAAGATGCTAAATTCACATATTTTTCTCTCATATTAACTCTATGACCATACCCAAAATAATGAAATACATCCACTAATTATAAGATCATTAATCAAGTAGAAGAGTAATTTAAACTCAAACAATGACTCCTTTCAACTTAAACAATGACTCCTTTATATGCAAGACTCCAAACCCTGCTGTAAATTGGAGATCAAGTACAACAATGATTCCGCTTTCAACTTTAACTAGAAGTCTTTCATATAATAACTACCCTTTTTATTATTTGCAATAAAAGTCCTTCAACTTTTGACTTTTAAGACAATTACCCAACAATTTTTTGATAAATGTTGATGACATGTGATTAAAAAATTGTGATTTTTATGAAATGTTTAAAATTAATTATTAACTTTAATTTGAAATTTTTAATAAATTTTAATCTAGGCCAAGTAGAAACATAATGAATGCTACCAAGAAGCAATGACATTGACGGCTTCCTCGCATTGCCTACTTTGCTTTCAATGTTGCGGATCATCAAAGGCCTTTCTTGAATCTAGATTTACAAGGAGGTTCTTTAACATGATCTCGAATTGAAGCAAGCCCTTTTAGAAGTGTATCGCTGATAGGAGTTTTCACCTTAGCTTTTATCTATTCTCAGGGAAGGAACTAGCCTTACCTATTAATGGTAAAGAGTGAAGCCGCCTGACCAAAGGAGTTGTCATAGTGGATAAGGACAGTTTTGCTTGATGAGAAGAGCTATCATCGGATCTTTATCGATTCATAGTCCCGATAATTAAATGTTAATTTTGTTTATTAGATAAAATTCGAGACAAATTGGGTAAATTGAAAGAAAGAAGCGAAAAATAGGTGAAAAAAGAATAAATACAAAGTTTGGGACCAAATTGTAAATATTCAATAGTTGATTCGAACCATGAAATGATGATTGAAGATTCTTATAAGTTAATTGAATGCAATTAGAAGTCAAAAAAGAGATAAATATATTTCAAGATTTTTCACAAAAGTCATGTTTCGAATTTTTAGTTGGATTGAGATCTATTTTTGGTATAGTAATTTGAATTACTTTTCTAATGCACTTTGAATTATCTTAATTAAATATCAAGAAAGAGTTATGACAAAAATACTAACGATCACGCAGAGACATAATCATGTGCTATCGAAGACAACTTTCCTTATTTAATTGAAACTCTTTTAAACCCAACTTGGAAGTATTTTTTGACCTAATTTCACCTTATATAATACAAGATACGGGTAACCATCGGAGGATCTCTCTCTTACATCTCAAATTACTTTCATATCATAAAATCATTTAAGAACGACGGTCAAATTCACCATAAGTTGGAGAAGAAAATAGATCTAGTACATAGATGGAATCAAAAAAATATTAAGGACATGAAGAATCAAATCTCGGGATGGATAATCAAGAACAAAAATTAGACCATGAAACCTCTTTGTTGTATATATAAATTTCAAGTTGTAATGTTAGGAGACTCATAATAAATTTAGAACGTGAAAAAATTAATATATGTGCTATAGATGTTAGAAATAACATTTATCACATGGACAATCATATAGATTATCTAAAATTTAATGCATTCTAATCATTTCAATTCATGTCGTGGTTATGATAGATTTAATTTGTCTTGAAAAAAATTATATATCATAATTTTATCTAATGTCAAGAACATATGAATGGAATTAGATTATAAATTAAGACTTGAAATAGGTAATAATAGGCGGATTATAAATCTAATGCAGGCATCCATAATTTGATAAAAATCAAACTTTTATATCTTTCTTAATGAATTTAGCATAAATCAAATAAAAAAAAAAAAAAACTCTTTTGTATTTCTCAATTTGGATTCTATACATAACTGGTAAACTTTAATTAAATTTATTCTCTATGAGACAATACTCTTAATTCACTTAATCTTTTACTTGTCAACATCTCGTACACATGTGAAATTTTATTGAATAAGTGTTTGATATCGTTGTCGAGAAATAAAGTATTTAATTTAAATCTATTAGTCTAATCAGGATTCAAATTTTTTATTTAATTTTTTAATTTTGTTAATTTCGGCTACACATCATGATCTCTCTTGTGCTCAATAGTCTTCCAGGTACTACTCGACAATATATTCAAGATTCTAATGATGGCAAAGGAGTAAATTTTTGCAACATGTAATCTCGACATGGATAAAGATAATATGTTTGTAGAAGATATATATTGTGAATTTTGTTATAGAGTGCATTATACTGAATACTGCTTGTATATATGCACTAATCCGCAAAAGGGAGTGAAAAGTGACCAAAAGTGTGAAAAAACGTGAAGTTGGGGACCAAAGTGAACAAGCCAGAAAGTTGGAGGACTTGGGTTGCAATTTTGGATGGTAAAAGTGATATGAAAATCAAAATTTGAAGACCAGATTGTACATAATCAAAGTTGAGGAGCCTTATGTGCATTTAACTGGAGGACTAAGTTGGAAAAAGAAATGAAGAAAGCCCGCGCTCACGCACAAGCTTATTATGGAGCTCACACGGGAGGCTCTTTGTGATCTCTCGAGGCCAAAAGTTTCTAACGATGCACGTGCGTCACAAATGCTCGTGCACGCGCCGCCTTCCTGTTGAGCGAATTTTGCCCATTTCATGTAAATTTCGGGACTTCTTTCGCAATTTCACCTCAGATGATTTTTAGCTATTTAAATACCGTTTTGTTGGTCAATTCTAGGGTTTTTCTTTAGCTGGGTCTTCTTCTCTTTCATCTTTCTTTTATTTTTCTTTCCTTTTCTTTTTCTTTCATTTTTCTTGGCATTTTGGAAGGGAAATCCAGAGCACAAGCAGAATACACATTCAAGGAGATAGAGAGATTTTGAAGAAATCAAGTTCAAGCCTTTAATATCTTTAAAAAGCCAACAAAAATGGTTGTATCTTGAATTTTGTATTTTCTTCACCATTATCTTCTATTGGCAATGGATTGTATAAAACATTCTCCTTTTTATCATATATTTAACATGGGCTAAATATTTGTGTTGGGATTTATGGTAGTAACTTAACATAACTTTTAATTAATTTTAATATTTGCTCTTTAATGTTAAGTTATTTATTTTTATATATTTTTACTATTGTTATTATTGTATTTTCATTTATGTGGTCCGTGAATGATTATGTCTAGCGATTTGTACACCGTTCAAGAGAAATTGTGCATTTTATACCAAATAGTAGGAACCCCTAGATTCGTGTAGGAGATAGAAATATACTCCTAACCCTAGGTAACCCAATTAGTTATTTTCCAAAATATTTAATGCGATTGTTTGGTTTTAATTGATATACAGATATAGCAGGTTAAATCAATAAATTAGGGTTAATTTAACTCGAGAGAGGTAATTAACTAAAATTGGAAGATCGGTTCTAACATAGTGAATGAGTAATTCATTAATTGGATCATGGAGAAATTAATTAGGCGTTAGTTAAATGAAACCATGAGTCCCAACCACATTTACTTCTGAAATTTCCAAAATTTTTATATTTCCTTATTTTGTAGCTTTTTAGTTAATTTCCTTATTTTAAAAATCATATTTTTAATTGTATGTGTTTGTTTTTATTGTTAGAAATAAATTAATTAAGGTTCTGTAATCTAAAGTATACATTCTTCGAGGAATCGACAATTCAGACTCAAAAAGTCCACTTTATTACTTGAACACGCCCCTGTACTTGCGGTGTAGTATTTTTGCGAACAATAAGCAATTG